GCCGCCTGGCCTGTGCCCGTCCCTCCGGCAGGGCCGTGCAGCTCGGCGTGGGCTGCCCCGGTCGGTGCCCTGGGGTTCAGGCGGCACTTCTCATCGGGTTGGGCAACAAACCTCGGTGGCATTTCCAGACCAGCCTAGCCTGCTGTGGGGCTGAAGGAAGGCAGGTAGCAACCCCTGCTTGGCAGAATGACAGAGCCTCTCTGGTAACAGCACACAGCTAACTGACTCTCAGCATGGAGGGGGGGTGTGGGCATTTTCTGCTCGTTTTGAACCTGATGTGATAGTGCTTGAGTAACGCAGTCTTTTCCTCAGGAAATATGTGGCTGCTGGTGAGATTACAGATCCTGCTCTTCTCCCTGCATGGGAGGGGCTATTGGCCCATCAGATCTTAATGTGCAGGCTGTAATCTTAATTTGTGCCTTGTAGTCCTGCTACTGGTGAAGGCTCGAGGCATCTTGTGAGCAGAATCTCATGGTAATGTGTTTCTTGGGCACATCACACTTCAGTTCAAAATGTTCTTGTAAATGTTCATCACAGAACTTTGCTGAAAGGTTAAAATGTCTGTGTAGTATTGCCATGAGACTGATGATACCTCTTTTTCTCTCTCTTTTTTCTTTCTTTTTTTCTAAAAAAAAAAAAGTACCTAAAACAGTGGAAATAATTGAAAGCTTCCTACTAATAACAGGCTGTTTTGATGTGGTCCTTATTGCCTGGTTTACTGATATAAAGAGAATTACATTTATCACTGGCAGTCTTACAAACTATTATAGTTGTGATATACTAGCTGTGATTTTTTTTTTTTTAATTTGTGTTTCATTCTGTTTGACCAGTGATAGTTGGCTAGCCAAGCTTTTTTTTTTTTTTTTCTTGTCTATAGTCAGTGTCCCATTTTGGTTTGGTTGTGTGAAGGAGGTGCTGCTGTGTTTTGGTTTGTAATCTTGCAGGGAGGGTCATAAATCTGTAGCAGTGTTTGGTGGCTTTTTTTTTTGTGTGTGTGTGTGTGTCTCTTCTTTTACTTAGAGCAATATCTTAACTTTTGTCCTTGCCTTGTTGAGCAAAAGTGAAAGTTAGATGCTGGGTACAAGCTTCTGCAATTGGTTACCCTTTTTAACTTTTTGTAGCTGTAGACTCCTCACTCAGAGGAGACTAGGTGAAAAAAATCATAGTAACATTAAAAAATAAATCGGAAGTGATCCAAAGCATCCTCTTGTCTTAATATCAGTAAAAGAATTTCATTATTAAATTATAATGGAAACACTTATGCAGTTGACACCATAAAAGGCAGTGTTTTAATTAAACCTGTTACTACCCAACCAGAAGCTTCAACTAGAACCTCTTCTCTGCTATCCCAGCCGTGGATGGAGAGCATGATACCATACTATTATTCCTGCAGATCTTCATGGAAGACATTGAGAGAAAGGAGCAGGAGCATACACGATAGTCCTGTTTCGGCACAATACAAGTCTAGGTTTGAATTGTTGCCACCCTGAAAACTGGGCTGTATTTGAAGTCTTAATAGTCCCACCAAAATTATGTAATTTCACTTCTAACTAGTCCCTGGCAACAGGTTCAGGTTTACAGAATAGCTTCTGGAATGTTCTAGAGCTCCAGCTGGAGCAGTTGCATTCAGTTTAATGCTCGGAGGCCATGCTCTGTTAACTGCAGGGTTTTGGTAGGCCTCATATTGCCTCGCCAAGCCATATGGGGGGAAATACAGCCCAGTTCTTGTTCATAAGTTTTTAGTTCTGTGGGTTTTTCCCCCCTTCCCCAGAAGCCTTGATCTTGAAGATGGTGAGTAGCCAGCCTAAGTACGATCTAATACGGGAGGTTGGTCGTGGCAGTTATGGTGTGGTGTACGAAGCAGTCGTCAGGAAGACCTCTGCACGGGTCGCGGTGAAAAAGATTCGGTGCCATGCTCCAGAGAACGTGGAACTAGCTCTGCGTGAGTTCTGGGCACTTAGCAGTATCAAGAGCCAGCATCCCAACGTCATTCACCTGGAAGAGTGCATCTTGCAGAAAGATGGTATGGTGCAGAAGATGTCCCATGGCTCCAGTTCCTCCCTTTATTTACAGGTACATGAAGCTGAGGTAATGGGGTGGAAGTAACTAATATGGATGTGTAGCTGGGAGGGAAGGAGGTGGGCAGCTAAGATAATTTTTTTTTTTTTGAGCTATGCTTAGTTAGGAGAGGGTATTGCTTGCATTGTTGACACTCAAAAATAATTATGTATCTTTAAAAGAGCGTATCTATTGAACAATCACCCATATCTTGTAATTTGAAGCCATGCCACTCTAAAAGACTCCAGGATTTTTTTTTAATGCAAATCTACCTTGATAATTTGAGGAGACACCCCAGGTAAAGCAGAAGGGAGGTGCAGGCTGTTGTGTTGCTTGGTAGAAGCCCCACTGCAGGGTTAATGAACAGACATGTACTAATGTCTTGGGACAGAGCTCTGAAGAATTTCTTAATCTCGATTGTCCTTGGAAGAGGAAGTAACCGTCTTGATTTAGGAAGCCCACACTTAAAATTCTTTCAGAAATAATAAGCAATTGGTAGCATGCGATGAGCTGTTCTCTTTGTTTAATAAATAACTATTAATCCCTTCAAAGAGAGGTAAAGGTATGATAAATGAGGGAATAAATATCGCTTCCCCTACATGACTGCTGAAAGTGTCCTTTAAGTTTGAAGATACATATTTTTGGAGAATAAGTAGCTCTGGAAAGACTTTGAAAGACAGTCTGATTCATTCCCTTGTCAAGAAGCTGCCCCAACTATAAATCATCCCCTGGCAGAAATTTTGTGTTTCTGGTTTAAAAAGTCAGTAGCCTGCTCAATGTTTATTGTGTTATCCCTAGTCAGCTTTTATCATTTCAGTTTTTATTGTTGTCATTCTTGCATGTCTAATGTAGAACCTTTTGTTAGCGAACATTCATCTGACAGCCCTTCACGGCTGTCCAGATCCCGTTGTGCCGAGTGCTGTACAAGCCTGAGAAAGAGGATTCTTGCCTTTGTAAACTCGCTGTAGCTTGGTAGTTGTTACTGACCTGCTTTCATGAAGGGATTAGGGCAAAATAATACTGGCCAGCTCACGTGGGAGAAATTAGTGCCTTACCTTCCTAGTCATTTGTGGATCTGTGAGAGATTGCATCAAACTTGCAGACGGCTGTACAGTGAGGAGCTTAAAAAGAAGAGAAAACACAACAGGGTGCAAGGTGGGGAGGAGTTTCCAGATCACCCGCAGCATTGGTTTTTGGTGGTAGCGTGGTGTGTAGATCTCGCCTGTGTCGGGTGCGTGCGTTACAAATTGTTTTCCTGCTCCAGAGAGCAGAGAAGAGCAAAGGGCAGAACTGAGCTGACTCTGGAGAGACTGAGATCACTTTATAATAGCATGTGCTAAAATAGAGAAAATCAGATCTCCCTTGGCTTGCCCTCTCCTCACCCTACCAGGTGATATTACGTTACAGAGCTGAAGGGGTGCAGTGTGCGAGGCAGCTGGCCGGGGAAGGGGCTATTAGTGTCTCCTGATGGGCTTTGGGGCAGATGCTTAGCTGGTGTCAGCTGAACTAAGTCAGTAAAGTAAGAGTCCTAAACTAGCCCGGTCTTGTGGTGCTTTGCCACTGTCACAGATGTGGTAGTGGATTTTGTTGTCTTTGTGCTCTGAACTGAGGTGCAAATGCAGGTTCGGTGAAGCCGTGTGGAGGGAAGAGCTGTGTGTTGGTGCTCGCTTGGCAAAGGAGACTCCCTGCTGTCCTGTGATCCCTTAATCTCGCTGTTGGTGGCTATAAACCCTAAATGCATAGTTTTCTAGTTCTAACATGGATTTACTGTTTTAAGTTGGTCCGATTTGAGTACTAGTTGTGCTAGCAATTAAAGATAGCTATAAATTGCTAGTAATTTTGCTCTTGGATGGAAAAGGTCACTTTCTTTAAAGCACTTGAAGATGCCTCTCTAAATATTAATGGCTACCTTAACTTTTGAAAGCCTGTAGGAGCTGTGTTTGATTTAGTGTACATTGGTTTACTACTAACAAATAATTGCGAGACTTACCTTCGGGAGCGTGCAAAGAGCCACCTCAGAGGAGCTGAAGAGGCAAACGTGTAGTTGTGCAAACAGGATTAGTAAAACTGATTGCTGCTTTTACTTTGCTTTTTGTATGAAGGAGCGATTAGAACCGGCTGCCTGAGCTACTGACTGCTTATATTCTAGAATTCGTGGATCATGATGATGGGAAAGGTGTTAGGTGCAGCAGGGTTCAGCTGTGCCTGCAGATCAGCGTTCTCCCGAGTGAAGGGATCCGGTGTTAACACTTGCTGGAGTACATTCATGTGTAAGGAATGGAGAATAGACTTCAAAAACCTATTGTGGCGCTGCTTCATCAGCGGAGGACAAGTACAACCCCCTGGCACTTGTTGAGACTTTGTACATTAAAGTTTTTAGCGAAATGGGTGGGACGGGCTTTGTTGGGGTGGGACACTGTCCAGCTGAAACAGATGGGAGTGCAATGGCCACTTAGTATCTTTCAAAATACTCTTATCTGAGTCTAGCTCGAGTTCTGGGCAGGAGTGTGAACTTGATATGCTTCGCACACAGGAAAATAAGGAGGCTGTCAAATACATTGTGATTATTTTGTTTGTTTGTTTACCTCAGAAATTTTGCATAAAGTTTTATTTTCACCAGTTGCAGTATCTTGCTCTCTGGATTGTCAAGAGGAAGATCCAAACTTCATGAATTTTTCCATCATATCTTTATATTCTTCAGGTAGTTATGACATTTCTTTTCCTTGTTGCAGCTTGTAGAGACCTCATTAAAAGGAGAAATAGTCTTTGACCCCAGAAGTGCTTATTACCTCTGGTTTGTAATGGATTTCTGTGATGGAGGAGATATGAATGAGTATCTATTGTCCCGAAAGCCGAACCGCAAGACCAACACCAGTTTCATGCTTCAGCTCAGCAGCGCGCTGGCGTTCCTGCACAAAAATCAGATTATTCACCGTGATCTCAAACCTGACAATATTCTGATATCTCAGAGCAGGATGGATGCTAGTGACTTGGAGCCTACCCTCAAAGTAGCTGATTTTGGGCTGAGCAAAGTATGTTCAGCCTCAGGACAGAATCCCGAGGAACCAGTCAACGTAAATAAGTGTTTTCTATCAACTGCATGCGGAACTGACTTCTATATGGCCCCTGAAGTCTGGGAAGGACACTACACTGCCAAAGCAGACATCTTTGCCTTGGGGATTATAATCTGGGCGATGTTGGAAAGAATCACATTCATAGATACAGAAACAAAGAAGGAACTTCTGGGGAGTTATGTCAAGCAGGGGACAGCGATTGTGCCTGTTGGAGAGGCGCTTCTAGAAAACCCTAAAATGGAACTGCTCATCCCCGTAAAGAAAAAATCCATGAATGCTCGAATGAAACAGCTGATCAAGGAAATGCTGGCTGCCAACCCGCAGGACCGACCCGATGCTTTTGAACTAGAACTGCGATTAGTCAACATAGCTTTTAAAGACAGCAGCTGGGACACGTGAGCTGCCGAGTCGCATCCCTCTCGACAGAGCTGCTTCTGGCCTGACTGATGGTGCAATTTAATGGCAGTAAAAGAAATGAGCCTGAACTCAAACCTGCAGGGTGTAGTTTCTACCAAACGAATCTCTTTTTGAGTTTCATAACTGATACGAATGCGAGTTGGCCGTTGTGTTAACGATGCATTGATGTGTATAATACCAGGATGTGACATGGAAGTGTAAGATGTGACGATGTCCGTTTGTGTACGCTGGCAGTGGGATGTCCTAAGAGCTGAGACTTGATTTCCAGCACTATGTCATGGAGTATTTCGTACATTCCAGTTTCCTATGTCAGTATTAGGAACTCTCATGGAAAAAAAAGAGATTTGCATGCTGGTAGTGCAAATCTTCAGGCTTTGTAAAGTAATTCTGTGTATATATTTATGTTTACGAGTGACTGGGAGTGTATGCCTCTTTTCTTAAATTATTTGCTATGGATCTGAATGATTGGGGTCTGCTAGAAAACTAGGTGAAGAAGATAGATGAGAAGCATTCCTTCTTCTCCAGGCCTGAATGACTTTTATTATTTATTTTTGTTATCTAATGTCAAAGATAGGGTCTGAGACTTGACTTTGTAGACAAAAAATGCAGTGCAAAGGGATCAGCAGTTTTCAAAGTGCTGACATGGCCAAGCTTAGCACTTCCAGCTTAATGAGCTCGTCACCGAGGGAGTCTGATATGTATGCCATCAGGTTGCTAGCATGTTAGCTAGTTCATTAATCATTCGATTTTGCTTCCTTCTAGTAATCAAATACTTTATTAATCAGTTAATCCACAGTTTCACAACGTGCTCTCTATTCGTGTATCGATAATCCAATAGCACCTTGAGGATTTATGATAGCAGAGTGCTGTGGGCTTAGTTTATGGAAGTGTGGATGAGGGAATCTAGCAGCATAGAGTGTTATTTTTAAGATTCTTCAAAATACGGTGGCAGCACAGTTCTCCTGTTAGCTGAATCTAACTGGTAATACTGGTGGTGGCCTCTTCCTTTTGGGCACTGCCTCTAACCTGGTAGTGAGGAGGAGATAAAGGGGTGACTGTTTGTCTTGTAGAACACGCCTGTTCTCAAACATGGGAGAAAACGCAGTAACCAGTATGTGAAAGGTATCTCCAACTTCTGTGGCAACCTTGGCTGATTTGAGTTGTTTTCTTCCTTTTAAAGAAGTAATATTTATTTAAAAGCAGGGATGGTAGGATGGAAAGCTTTGAAGTAGTTGAAAGGCTGTTTGTCCCTGGCTGTTATTCCACAGAAGCGGACTGATGTGTTAAGAGAGGTTTCTCCGAGGCCACCTGACACGCTGTACGGCAGACAGAAGCCGCTTTGTAATAGTATAGCACTTTGTTCTTTTGGGTGCAGGACCGTGACCTTTCTCATCAATTTGAGCTTTTGGAAAAAGTGGTCTTAAAAAATTGCCTTTAAAGGCAGATATATTAAAGCTGCAACAAAGGCCGGTTTTCTTAATAAAAATGAATTTAATATTTTTTTCCCTGCTCTTACCTGAAAGCTGCCATAAATATCCCCTTGTTTCTCAAATACTGTTCCCTCTTAGTGCTGTGAGAGCAGTTCTGATCAGTCAGTGTTTATACTTCCCGAGTGTGAATAAACAGTACAAACAAAATTTTTCTGTTCTTCCAAAAGCAAAGGATTCTGACTCTACCAAACTTTTGAGGCTTTACAAACTACAGGTGGTTCTTACCTGGTGCAGTATAGAGCTGGTGGCAGTTACCCCGGGGGCCTTAGTCCTTAATTCTTGTTACTCTGCTTCACTTTATCATTTAAGGCAAGTTGTCTCAGTAGTGATTCTCGGACAAATACACTTTGCTGCATTAAAACAATGTATATTGTTTAGAAGATGCTACAGAAGTAGCTTGCAGAAGACACTGTTCCCGATTACAGCAGAGCACCTCACTTCAGCGTAAATTGACAGGGACGGAGGCAACTGCGTGGTACGGAGGATACAGCCTGTTGCCTGCGTAGATGTCCCAGTGTCACTCCTTCCCTGCAGAGAGCTGAGTCTATAAAAGATGACTTGGAGCCTACCTGTGAGTAACGATAAGGAGAGATCTATTTTTTTTCTTATGTTCTAGAAGCAGAGATCTGTTTGTTCTCAGATTTTAACTGAGTTCAGTACAATCGAAGCCTCGGCTTGTTCCTGAAAGGAGGAAAACAAACCTCGCTGTCTGTGCCAACGCTGTTTCACAGTACTTACATTTCAGTATGGTCATGCGATGAGTAAAGTTTTAAGAGGGTATATCATTTTTCCATGTTAAACTTGAGAGCTTTTTAAAAATACACTGTTAACTTCCTCCTCTCTTGCCCACCCAAAAGTCAGAATCAACTCTGTTCTATTAAATTATGAATCTACTACAGAATACTACTACTTACCTTTAAGGCACTTTGCAAATCATCTGCGTCTTCTCTGAAGTATTTCAAAGGACGAACACCCAATATGCTGCCTGCCTGCAGTGCAGAAATGAGTGAACGGCACAGGAAAGGTTTGGGTTTTTTGACTCCCAAAGTGTTTCTTTGCACTGATCGCCACTTTAAAGGGTGGGGGTACCTGAAATCCCTCTCATGGTGCTTAGCCTTGCTGTTGGTGACACTGAGTGTTTCCTTTGTTAACACTGAATGGTAGTCCTCCAGGTCTGTGTTCTGTTTGATTTTTTTTTTGTTGTTGTTGTTGTCTGAGGTCTTTGTTTTAAAACCTGTGATAAATCAAATTGTTGTAGCAGCTACAGAGTTATTCACCAGCGTGACACAAAGTCAAGATACTTTTCAGCACTCAAAAGATTTTTTTTTTCAAATCTTTCTTTAAAAACTGTAAAATATATTTTATGGAGAATTTATAATGAGGAAAATTATTGTGTAATTTATTAAGTTCATGACTGTTTTGAAATAAAATCTGAATTTTGATGAAACTTTTGAGCTTTCTTTAGAGAAATGCTTTTTTTCCTCAGTCAGCACAATGTCATCTAGCTGTCAGCCAAGCTGTGGAAAGGTTTATTTGCTGTGCTGGCACAGAAGTAAGCTGTAGTACTTCATCACAGTCATACCGTAAGCGGTCCTAGGCTTGTAAAAGATGCTGGGTTGGCTAATGGCTGTGACGCTCGTCTTCTGTGCGTTGTGGCAGCGCTGGACGTCCACCGATGTGTAACGTGCTGCTGGGCGACTTGACAGAGCGAGGCCAACCTGGATGTGAGAACAGAGCTGGCTCCTGGACCAGTTGAGGTGAGCCACGTCCGTGTGGACCCTGCGGCTTCTGCCAAGCCTTTTAAGAGTCAAACCAGTGCTCTTCTGGGCGTGCTTCGTTTTCAGAGAGGGGATTAAAGACTAAAAGCAGCATTCTTGCATCTAGTATGTACTTGCAGTTGTTTTTACAAGCAGACTGAGTACCACCCTGGGCTGTAAGGAAATCTCTGGCAGACTCTGCCTACCCTGCTACTGGTACAACTGGATTTGTGAGGCTGCAAATAGATGCTGCCGCTCTCCTGGGCCCTGACGCGCCTCTTGCCGAAGCGAGCCTTTCCCTTCGAGTTCCTGCGTGTGCTGGAGTAGGATTTCACCCAGAAAACCACCAGCCCTTGTTCTGTGGGTGAACACCGTTGCCCTCCTGAGTGCACCACGAGCCCCGCTGCGGGGGGCTGAAGGCAGCCCCGAGAGCCGGTGCTCCGCTGTGTTTCCCTCCTGTGTAGAGGGGCTGAGCGCTGCCGGCTTCCTCCGGAGCTCGCGGAGGGAGAGGGAGCAGGGGTGTGCAGGCTGTCGGGGCAGCTCCTGGGGCTGAACCGGGTGTAAAGGTCCGCTGGAGGTTGGTGAGGGACAGTGGCCTGCTGGTCTCGTGTCCCCTGGGAAACCTTAGACATAAAAGTGAGGAAACACCATTACTTTACACATCATACAAAAGTCTGGGAGTCATTTGCGTGTTTTAATTAACAGTGCTCCAAATCAAAGGGTTGCGCAGACTGGGAGTGGGAATAGCACAAACTGGAAATGCTATAAATTGTCTTGTCTTGCCGTTTCTTACCCCTTGCAACAAACCCAAGCCGGGTCATCGCTGCCTGCAGATTCCTGCGTGTCCCGGTGCCAGAAATAGGCGGATTCCCCACCTGGCAGGAGCTGTGTGGTTAAATCGGTAAGTCAATGCAGTCTTTGCCAAAGAGAAAGGGATTGAAATTTAGATTATTTATTTTATTAAAGGATAAGCACCTTAATTAAAGGAGAAATTCACACCTCTTTGATCAGTTGTAAGAGTGGTGATTTTAAATGAAGAAAACTAAGCCCACATACTTTAAATATATCTAGTCCATGGTGGCAGGGGGGAATCGGCAAGGAAACGCCCTGGTGCAGAAATTAGATGTAACTAAGGCTGCATCTGGGCTCAAATAACCCAACCTCTGCTTTATTTTCCTTGGTTCTGCAGAATGCTGAGGCCTCGGGCTCCAGCTTGCCCATCCCGTTTCTTCAGGCAGGGCTTGGCTAGGCCATCCTGCGCAGCGCTGGGCTCGTTTGTGTTTTCGCTTTGTGTTGATTTGAACGGCGTTTTCCTTCGCGCCAGCCAATTGCAGCCCCTGCGCAAACTGCAGCGTAATGGCAGATGTTGCTTTGTGGTCGAGATAAAGTCCTCTCTCGGCGAGCCGGCGGCCCCTGCCCGCCCCTTGGAAGGGTGCCCGCGCTTCAGGGAAACAACTTTTTTTTTTCCATCTCCCTGTGCGGTGGCTGGCTGAGCAGCCACTCTCAGGTGGCCTTTGGACCGCGGGCAGCACAAACGGACAACTTTTTGTGTTGGTTTTTCTCTTTGCTCCACCGACGCCCTGTGAATCCTTCTCTGGGGTATCGATCGTTAAGTGTTTTTTAATCTTTGCTGGTGGTTTGTGTGGTGAACATGAGGGCTTGTCCACAGAGAACTAGTTAGGAGTATTGAAACACAAACTCTGTTTAGTGGGTGCTGCTGGGCACTGACTGTTTTCGTTTCCCTTTCAGCCGGAGCGGTTTATGCAAAGTGTGATTTCTATTCTTAAGTGCAGTGAAGGAAGAGGGATGTATTTGAAATGCCACAAACCGTCCAGAGTGCCCGCGCTGTTTGGGGAGGTGTGGGAGGTGGAAATACAAGACCGAGCTGCTGCAGATCTCTGTTCGTGAGCTCTGTAAGCGTTTTTGGGGAGTCTGAGACCACACGCTCTTATAAGCGGAGCAAGCAAAGCGCGGAGAAGTCGAGTGACCCGAAGGATCAGCCAGCCCCACCACTGCGTCGCTGCG